AACCCTCAGTTTGTTTCCTGAGATTAAGAATTCCTCATATCAGTGAGGTCATATGATACATGTCTTTCTCTGGGACTTATTAATCCACATCTTATTTGCCATTTTGTCACTCTGACTACTGAGAAACTGCTCGAACTCATGCATGCTCCCATTAATTAAAACTCCTTTCTTCTTTTGCATTTTGTTATGCTTGACCATATCTTAACTACCCACTTCAGCCACCACGCCGCCCCACGTCACGTATAGCATCACCCTGCACGGTATCCTAACAGTGGGTGCGTACCTGAGCTTTACTTCCCTCATGATTTCTAACCACTCGGGAAATACACATCATCTTATCTACAAACAAACCACTCATCCACACTCCCTGACTGGTCAATCCTGATGTATTCTAAGGTTGCTAGCAACATCTTTTTAGAATTCAGCTTCATAAAACTCCCTTAAACCTGGTCTGCATTTTTGCCATTTCGTTCACTAAGTCTTCTCTAATTCATACAGTGGTCCTTTTCTCCGCTCACCAACCCTCTCCTCCTTCTTATTCCTCATAACCTTGGTCTGAGTATGTGCCTAGCCCACCATCCTTCAAGAATCTGCCACTCTTCAAACCCTCCCTTCACATCTGCAGTAATCTTCACTTTGCTCTTCCATCCCTTTCCTCCTCATACCATATTTTACCCCAGAGCTACATGCTGCCCTAGCTTCTGTGTCCCTCCTTCCAGCTACTGCTCACTTCCATCTCCTTCTTACAGATTTCAGCTGTCTCTTCGGGACAGACAGACACTGGGTGCGCACTGCTCAACCCACTGCCATCTCCCCTGGCGTCCTACAGTCTTTACTGCGTCCTCGCTTCCTCTCCGTTCAGCATAAACTTCCATAGGATTCCTGCTACTGGTTTGCCTTTTATGTCCATGCCTCTCAGCCTATTTGACCTTTTGCTATATTGACCAGACACGTTACTTCCAGGATCCTTCTGGCAAAGCATCCTGGACAGCAAAGTCTCGAACTCCAGGTCCAACTTTGCCACCTTCTTACCTCTCTCTCCTTGTTAATACACAAATCTGACAAATGTCCAGCTCCCGTTTGGCCCTCTTTAATGCCCTTCCGTATTTATTTTTCTACCTGCATGTTCTGCGCCTTGCCTAACACACACATCCCCTCTCCTCATTATTGCCAGCCTCCATCTTTTGCTCTCTCCTTTGCTCTTCGTTCATACAAGTCTCCTCAGTTGCTTCTCTCACTTCCTGCAAATCCTAATATGTTTCCTTAATTCCTGAGTGTGTCTTTAACATCCTGTTATAGCACGTTCTTTCCAGTTTCCCCTGTGTATCTTAACCTTTCAGAGTGATGGGTGATGACCTTTTGAGGTTCCATCCCCTCTGGTCCCCACTCCCTCACTCAAAACCAAGTGACTACTTGTTAGACAAGCCCTTCCTTGGAGAGCAACTAACCAGTCTCCCTCCTTTTCCATCATGATCTTTGGCCCGAGTGTGGTGCCATATATTTCTGGTTAGTGTCAGTGACTATTTCCATGTCAGTATTCAGTGATATTTTCTCATCTGATGGCAGCTTTAACTGTGCTGTTCTACTCCTTTTTCTTGATTTTTCCTCATAAAAACAATCTGACATTCAGCATCCTTCATCCATTCAGAGACTGTGTATGCACATATCATTCCCATAGAGTCAGACTCACTTCTGGATAAACAAACACCTCATATTCAGCCCTCACTGTTCAGACTGTGGACTGGATTACAGGTCGATCCCCTGTGGCCTCTCTCTACCCTCCTCTTCCGCATGGCCTCCTGAACAGCTCCCCTTCCTCCACCTGTTTGTAGCCACACCCCCTCCTTTCTTTTTTCAGTCGTCATGGTCTGGATTAACATAAAACCACTCTACAAAGTCCCTACTCTGCACATCCCAGTGTCCCTCACTCCTTCCCCCTGGCCAGGTTACTCTCCGGCAAGCTCCCTGCCCTAGCGTGAGTCACGCGGCCCCTTGCCTTATTCTAGCCTCCATTCCCTCCATATCTCCTGTCCTTTCTTACAGGTCTCCCCAGTTGCTTCTCTGTCAGCTGGTGCTCCCATGACAGGCTGCGAGCAAAGACTCATCAGAATGGCTGTTCATCTGCCTTCATCTAAAGCAGTGATTCTCAAACTGCAGCTTGTTAAGACACAGACTCAGCAGCTCAGGTGGGGCTGAAGAACACGTGTTCAGAAGCACTGCTCTAAGCATTCCCCTCAGCCAAGTCCTTTCATTAAAAATTTCCCACCAAGGAAGGCATCAAGATCGAGTCTACTTCTGACTTTCATTATTTTGCAGGCCTTTCTTTCTCTCCCAGTATAGACACGAGTCCCTGCAGTGTGGCCTTATGCCCAACATATTAGGCCAGTGAGGCCCATCCTTGTAGCCAACAGGATCCCCCATTCTGGGGGCCTTCGTGATGCATATGGTTTTTCTTATTGCCATGCCGGCTACTGAGAGTTGTTCTCTATACAGTGCTCCTTTTGACCTTAAAAACCGCTCTTCCCCGCCCCCACAGCTCTGGCCCAAGTGTGGGGCCTTCTCCTTCCAGTCAATACCTGCCATTCTTCAGGTGACCTTTTAATCTGGGGATAATTGTAACGTTGCTCTCCCGTTCCAGTCTCCTTATTATCTACCCTGCCCTAAAGAAAGATGCCACCTTCTCTTGAGCACCACCACCCGCCCCTTTAGCCACCATCTCCACTTCATTCAGTGGACGTGGTCTCCTCCTCAACAGCTCTCCACCAGGTTCTCTCCCCACTAGCAAAACATCTCCACCCGACAGTAAATTCCAGAGTAACTTTAATGTGGTGCTCACATGACAATTATTTGTATCTCCCTGTGGTTGTCTGCCCTGCCACATTTTTATTCCACACAGTGTGATTTCATCTACCACCTGTACAGAGAAGTAACAGATGGCGTTCTGCTCAAGTTGGGCTCCCACCACGATCTCTAGCCACTCATCTCCCAATGCTCGTCATCCCTGCTGCAGACACACCACTCACACAGCGACCCCGGGTCCACGGGCTGCCCTCGTTTATACCAGGGGCGTCTTCATCCTCGTCCTTCCAGTCCTCCTCACCAGAACTTCCCACCGCCCTTCAGGCCCTGTTCTTCTACCGTCCTCTGTACTGCTTTCAGTTTGGCTTTAAGACCCAACATATGACCAAACCGACCAATTATGAGATCTTACGGGATTTCCCATTCTGGGGGACTCTATTCCGCACCCTCTCTGCCCCTGCCACTCCCCCTGCTCCCCACTGCTCTTTCCACAGCACTCCCTTGACGTAATCGCCATCTCTCTGCTTTCTGATGTGATCCTCAGCTTTGCTGCAAGCGTGGCACCGTATCCCTCCCGCCCAAACCTGCTGATCTGCAGATGCCCCGCCGCCTCCGCAGCCTCTCCCGCTCCTTCCCGGGCTTGGCCCCGCCTTGACCTCCATTGCCTACAGAGCCGCGTGTTTTGTCAGCTCCCCTCTTGGTATCGTTTCTCATGGATTCTGCTGTTGTCTCGTTCCTCTTCCTTGTTCTGTCCATGCTCTTCCACATGCACTCGCCCCCCTCAGTTCAACCCCGACCTTCACAGGACTCCTGCCACCCGCCATGGCTGACATCCATCCCACTTCGACTCTAACCTTTCGCTGTTGGTCACACTGTGGCACCCCCTCATGACAGCACTTCTTATTCCGCCACTTCGTCTCCACAGCCTCTCTCCTTCGGGTGTAATCTAGCTTAGCTCACAGCTCTCTGCTTACTGTGCTGCTCTGCCGTCTCCCAACCGCCCCCCCCCCCCCCGCCTGGCCCTTTGTGCCCTTCCCTCCTCACACCTTCTATTCCGCTCCACACCCCAAGTGCCCTCCCTTCTTGGCTTCGAGCCTCCAGCTTCTCTCTTCTCTGTGCTATTTTCATACAGGTCTGCCCAGGAAGTGTCACTTTTAGTCCTCACACAGCGGGTAGCTTCCAAGAGCAACCGACTCTAATGGCACTTCATGAAGTAAACTGTGACACCTCACCCAGCGCTCCTTTACTTGCCCCCTCTTGACGGGAGGAGTGGGTGCCAGACACTTCTCTTCAGATGTGCTCCCTCATCCTCCTCAGCTGTTCCCCATGGCACAGTCAGCTCTTCTCTGGACAGACCACCTCCATGCACTCTACTGAGTCAAGCCCCGGATCTCTAAAGTCACCAGCAGTAGCTTTTCATCAACTTCCCTATCACCTAAGTCCTTCAACTCCCAATTTCCCTCCCAGTGGGTGCTCCGAGATCTGGTCCACTCCTGCCTCCTACTCAAGTCCTTGCTCCTCACACTTTCCTTATACTTCTCCTACTCACAACACCCAAAATGTAACCAGTGACCTGTTTCGAGCTCTGACAAGATGCCCCATTCCAGCCCTTCTTCATCTCTCACCTGCTCTGCCTTGTGGGCCTTCCACTACTGTGTTTCCTTTTCTCTGCTTCTAGCCTCTCCTTTCCTTCATAGTGTGTCATGACTGGTGGCCCAGGAATGATGTCCCGTCCTTCCAGCTGTTATGTCATTCCTTAGTGACGCCTTTCCGTCTGAGGGCAACTTAAATGCTGCTTGTTCTGTACCTTTCCTCCTTTTCCCCTACATTTGTCCTGGAGAAAAACCTTCGCTTTCAACATCCTTCCAGCCATGTGTAGAGCATTTCCGGGGATTCAGCGCTCTTTCCTGGTGGGTATTTGCTCCTCATTTTTAGCACGCACTCCTCGAGTTGCAGCCATCTGCCTGGATTTCCTACACAGTGTGTACGGCATCCATTCCTTCTCAGTTCAGTCCAGACCTGCATGGACTGCTATAGTTAGTCTGTTTTACATCTAGCCCTTCTACCCCTTTCTAATTGCAGCTCCATTGGCTACAGCCTTTAAATTATTTCAACAAAGCTTTCTGGAATGTCCTCATAGCCCCATGTCCTATTTAATCAGTCTCCCCTCCAGTGGTTGAGACCTGGCAACTCCCCACTGAATCTTCCACTCTGCCATTCGCTACACTGCATGTCCTGCACCCCACCCCACGTCTCTCTCCTGACTTCGTTTCCAGCATCTCTTTTCTCTAATTTTGTGTTCTTTCACACAAGTCTCCTCAGTAGCTGTCTCTCGTTTCAGTCAGTCCTCTTAAGACAAGCCTCATGTCTGAGAAGAATTTTAATGCAGATCTCCAGGGCATTCTGCCTTTCTTCCCTCTGGTTATTTGCCTGGCTTCATTCATGAAGTTCTCAACTTTGTTATGGCAATGGATTCAATATTGTTCTCTCGCCATGAAAGGCCCCCCTCACTCCCTCTCCTCATCACCCAGTGTTAGCCATCCTTTCTAGCAACATCAATCGATTGCTACCAGTGGTTTTACTGGAGTTTACCTTAGATGCCCTGTAATCTCTCCTTCTATCAACCAAACCGTTTAATTAAAAATTTGTCACAAAAGTTTCAGAAACATTCTAATACTATTCCTGTTTGCTTCCTTAATCTGTTTCTGTGTCACTTACTTATATATTAAGTGTCTTATGTCCTTACTTATACATAAAATTCAACCAGTTTGCCCAGGCTGTGATCTACCCTTGTTCCCAGTTATCTCCTATTCCTCTTGCTCATTTGCCTGTAGCCTCCCTGCTTAATCAGAACCAAACTGGGATTCATATAATCTTGCATTACTCAATGTCTATCCTGCCTCTCATTCTTACTTGATCATGACCTTTGTCCCTGCCATAATCCCATATCTCTCCTCTTTCTCTGAATACTTCAACTGACCCTCTTTAGCTCTGTGTTAACTTCCACTTCTTTCTTCCTCCTTCCCTTTCTCTCCTACCCTAATTTAACCACGATCATTCTTTGACCAAGCCCCTATTGCATTGAAATAGATTCTGTAGTCTTAACAGGTATACTCTTTCCTGTATGGGACAAACCACTAGCATCATCCATTTTCAAGGTATTCTATTAAATTCGTTTGCTCTCTGAACTCAGACCTGTTCTTCATAGGCTTCCCACCGGTGGCTTTAGTTATTTCTAATATTCCAGTCTCTTGACTGCCTCAGCAAACCAGGGCCTGTTGGAAAATATCTGGTCTCCTTCATTTGAAATACAAGGTATTTCAAATTTGTTCCTAAACAAATTCTCCTCAGCACCTACACATTAGGGTATCTCTCATCATTTCCACTTACCCCATGGCCCTTCTGGCCGCTTTCCTTTTATTGTGTACCTTCGTCTGCTTGCCAAATCTTTTTTGCATCCTTTGAGATCCTGTTAAACTGTTACATTCTTTCAGATGTTTTGATTTCCCCAAGCTGTTAATCCTGCACTCCCCCACGGCCCATGGAGTTGTAGTGTCACAGGTAGGCAGGCAGCTCTCTATCACACACACACACACACACACACACACAC